GGCCTCCCACAGTGCTGGGATTACAGGCTTGAGCCACCGCGCCCGGACTTGTATTTTTTTTTTTAAGTAGAGACAGGGTTTCACCATCTTGGTCAGACTGATCTTGAACTCCTGACCTCATGATCTGCCTGCTTCGGCCTCCCAAAATGCTGGGATTACAGGCGTGAACCACTGTGCCAGGCCTAATTTTTGTATTTTTAGTAGAGATGGGTTTTGTCCATGTTGGACAGGCTGGTCTCGAACTCCTGACCTCGGTGATCTGCCTGCCTCAGCCTCCCAAAGTGCTGGGATTACAGGTGTGAACCACTGCACCCTGCCTTCCCACCTCGCCCTGCTTCAAGGTGGAATTCTAGGTCTGCTAGCAGGGGAGTGGGCCCCAGAGAGGGTGTGGGTAACCTGGCCTCTCCCTGCAGGGCCGACCAGAGGCGCTGGGACACCTGTGTTTCCAAAACTCACCTGCTGTGACAGGAGATGTTCAAGACTGTTGTCATGCATATGCCCAAACACGTACCCATACATGTGTGTACAGCCAGGCTTCCAGGAGCAGGCTGGAGGCGGAGGTGGGGGCGGAGGAGGGGGTTTGGTGAGTAAGGTCTTGACCTTCCTAAACAGCGTCTGGATCCTTGAGGAAGGGTTCTCAGGTTCCCCAGGCGGAGAGCCCATGGAGGAAGTTAGGACACTGGGCTTCAAATCCCTGAGAAGCGTTTGCTGGTCCAGCTACCATGCGGGAATGTCTAGTGGCAGGGTTGTTGCCTGGGGGACCTAGGGGACGATGAAGTCACAGACGCCCCTGTGACCTCGCTGGGTGTGGTGGGCAGCGGGATAGCCCCTTTCCTCCCAAATGTCCACCTCCTGATCCCCAAACCAATGAATATGCGATAGTTATACATTGAATTGTGGGCCGGTTGTGGTGACTCACGCCTGTAATCCCAGCACTTTGGGAGGCTGAGGTGGACGGATCACTTGAGATCAGGAGTTTGAGACCAGCCTGACCAACATGGTAAAACCCTGTGTCTACTAAAAATGACAAAAATTAGCTGGGTGTGATGGCACATGCCTGTAATCCCAGCCACTCGGGAGGCTGAGGCAGGAGGATCACTTGAGTCCAGGAGTTCCAGATCGGCCTGAGCAGCAAATCGAGAAATTTTTCTACAAAAATTTAAAAAAATTAGCCGGCTGTGGTCATGTGTGCCTGTAGTCCCAGCTACTTGGGAGCCTGAAGGGGGAGGGTCTCTTGAGCACAGGAATTAGAGGGTGCAGTGAGCTATGATTGTGCCACTCCACTCCAACCTTGGTGATAGAGCAAGACCTGGTCTCTTAAAAAAAAATAAAAAAAAAAAGAAGTAAGGATGGGGTTGGTCCATGAGAAAATAAAGTCAAACCCCATTATTCACAGAATCGAGATTTGTAATTCCACTAAAAAAAAAAAAAGTAGGCCGGGCGCTGCGGCTCACGTCTGTAATCCCGCACTTTGGGAGGCCAAGGTGGACAGATCACAAGGTCAGGAATCCAAGAGCAGCCTGACCAATATGGCAAAACCCCGTCTCTACTAAAAATATGAAAATTAGCTGGGCATGGTGGCATGTGTCTGTAGTCCCAGCTACTTGGAAGGCTGAGGCAGGAGAATAATTTGAACCCAGGAGGCAGAGGTTGCAGTAAGCCAAGATTGCGCCACTGTGCTCTACCCTGGGAGACAGAGTGAGACTCCATCTCAAAAAAAAAAAAGCATGGTGGTGTGCACCTGTGGTCCCAGCTACTCCGGAGGATGAGGTGGGAGGATCACCTGACCTGGGAGTTTGAGGCTGCAGTGAGCCATGATTATACCACTGCACTCTAGCTGGGGATGGGGATAGAGTGAGAACCCAGTCTCAAAAACCAAAACCCAAACCAAAACCAACAAAATCATATACATGTAGGTGCATACATATTAGTCAGCTATTGCCACATGACGAGTTACCCCTGCCAAAGCTTGACAGCTTAACACGACACACATTCATCATCTCACCCATGTTCTGAGCATCAGGAACTCAGGAGCAGCTTAGCCAGGTGTTCCTGTGAGTCAGTGTTTCAAGTATGAGTCTAAGATTCAGGATTCAGGTACTGGGATCCAGTGGTTCCAGTGGAGGGATTCACAAAGCTTGGACTATCCAGGGAATGCACCTGGTAGATTTGCAGCGGGATGTTGGCCAGGACAGCAAGATCCTCTTCCAAGGTCATACATGGCTCTTGGCTGAGTTCCTCACCGCATGGTCCTCTCCATAAGGCTGCTCATGCCATGACCACTGGCTTCCTTCAGAGCAAATGTTATGGGAAAGAGAGACAGAGAGAGAGCACATAACCCATAATCAAGATGGTAGCTACAGTGTTTTTTGTTTGTTTGTTTTTGTTCTTTGTTTTTGGCGACGGAGTCTTGCTCTGTTGCCCAGGCTAGAGTGCACTGGCGCGATCTTGGCTCACTGCAACCTCCACTTCCCAGGTTCAAGTGATTCTCCTGCCTGAGCCTCCCCAGTAGCTGGGATTACAAGTGTGTGCTGCCATGCCCGGCTAATTTTTGTATTTTTAGTACAGACATGTTAGTCAGTCTGGTCTTAAACTCCTGACCTCAGGTGATCCACCCGCCTTGGTCTCCCGAAGTGCTGGGATTACAGCCACTGTGAGCCTTTTTTTTTTTTTTTTTTTTTTTTGAGATGGAGTTTCGCTTTAGCCCAGGCTGGAGTGAAGTGTTGCAATCTCGGCTCACTGCAACCTCTGCCCCCTGGGTTCAAGCAGTTCTTCTGCCTCAGCCTCCTGAGTAGCTGGGATTATAGGCAGCTGCCACCACCCCCAGCTAAGTTTTGTATTTTTAGTAGAGACAGGGTTTTGCCATGTTGGCCAGGCTGGTCTCGAACTCCTGATCTCAGGCAATTCACCTGCCTTGGCTTCCCAAAGTGCTAGGATTACAGGCGTGAGCCACCTGCGCTGGCCTTTTTTTTCTTTTTTCTTTTTCTTTTTGAGACTGAGTCTTGCTCTGTTGCCCAGACTGGAGTGCAGTGGCACGATCTCGGCTCACTACAACCTCTGCCTCCCTGCAACCTCCACCTTCCGGGTTCAAGTGATTCTCCTGCCTCAGCCTCTAGAGTAGCTGAGATTGCAGGCATGCACCACCAAGCCCAGCTAATTTTTGTATTTTTAGTACAGACAGGGTTTCGCCATGTTCGCCAGGCTGGTCTCGAACTCCTGACCTCAACTGATCTGCCTGCCTCGACCTCCGCAAGCGCTGGGATTACAGGAGTGATTCACCGCACCCGGCCTACGGTGTCTTTTATAATGAACTCTTGGAAGTGATGTAGGATCACTTCTATTGTACTCTTTTGGTCGGAGAAACCCACCCTGGTACACATGAAAGGGGTTACACAAAAGTGTGAATTCTATCAAAATATATATATTTTTAACACCTCTGCTGGCAGGAAGAGAAGTGTGAATTTTTTTTTTTTTTTTTTT